TTTCTTTAATATCATTAATCTCACTTTACTCAATAAAAATGAATAAATTTGCTACTTTCATTAAAGATTTTGAAGAAAAACTTAACAAACAAGGTGAATAATTTAGACTAATTGAATGTTTTTTAATTTGACATTATTATCAAAAAATTAAATTTTTTAATTCATCAATTCAATTTATAGAATCTGGCAAAATTTGTAATAATCCCCATGGAGAAGACAATAATTCTTACCCACATTGGCCTTGTGGAGATTTTATTTTTAAATATGTCACAAAACCAAAGGATTGGTTGCAGAGTGGTTGGGCCTTTGATTGTTATGAGTCTAAAAAAAAATTTGATTCAATTGCACAAATTAATAGCAAGCAATGTCTTGGTACTATTAAATGCAGTGAATGTGAAGCACAAACAAGACCACAAATCAAAGGGCATGGAAAACATATTGAACAACAGTTACTTAAAGGATGTTCAATTCCAACATGTGATGGTATATTAAATTTAAAGTTAATCATTAATTATTTAAATAATCAAATAATATTAATTAAAAAATAAAATTTTTAGGAACTTTGGAGTGGAAGAAATGTTCTGCTAAATGTAAATTTATATCTTTAGATATGCCTGATGAAAATGGGTATTCTTATTATCTTTTGCACATTGGACACCATGAACATCAACATTGCATTCAAAATAAACCATTTAACAATGAAAAAGAGCAATTACAAAAATGTGTTTGCTCAGCACCAGAGACATTACCATGAAAACTTGTTGTTGGCCAATCTTTGGATGCTAGTCATGAATTATATTCTGTTCATAATATATCAGAAGCTTATTCAAACAGTGATTGTGTGGCTTACTATCATTGAAAGATAATTGATGATGAAAATATTATAACAAAAACAGCTCACCAACACGGGAATAATTTTGTTTTAGACTTGTTGCAATTTCAATCAGAAAAACAGATTTTACAAGAAAAGGTATAACCATACTGCAGACAGATTGGATGCAACAACAAGCCTTTACTGAGAATAATTATTCAGGTGTAATTACAGATAGCACATATAAATATTTTACAAATGCATTTCTGCTATCTAGGTATGTATTAAATTTATTAAACATATATAATCACAAGTTTTTATAATTTCTGATTAATAACTTTATTTTATATTTATTTTAATGGAGGTTCTATATATTGCCCTCTTTTGCAAAGATGGATTCCGATTTTAATTTCAATTATCTTAAAGGAAGATACAGTCCATTACAAGGAATATTTTAAATATTTATTTAAATGGAATGATGAAAATTGTAAAAGTAGAAGTTCATCAAATGATCTTTATGCTCAGGTCATGGACTTTAGCATGGCAGAAAGGGGAGGATTTATAGAAGCCTACATTGAACATAAAATAAATGATTCAACATCTTATCCTGGAGATTTATTAAAACATCATAAAAATTTATTAAAAGATGAGGCCAAGAAATTGTTGAAAGGATGTCAGCAACATTTTCGACAATCTATAAGTAGAATAAGCAGAAATCATGTCATTATAGACCATACATCATCATCAGA